TTCCAAACCTCACTTCCAACCCTCATTTCCAAACCTCACTTCCAACCCTCATTTCCAAACCTCACTTCCAACCCTCACAGCTGCGATTTTATTGTTCAAATAATATCACTAACTTGCTCATTAAGTAAATTCATTAATTCATTGCTAATCGTTGTTAATCCAATAGACCCATTATTAGGTAGCTAGAGCCCCAATAATCAGAGGTACAGTCAGAGGTACCATTTTCTTCGATCTTTGTCCAAATTCGTTCTTAGTCCTGATGAAATGTTACCGTTAACTATGGATAAGTTACAAAATTTGTTAGGATATTTTTTGCACAAATGTTAGTTAAGAGGCTGGTGTGTAGTGATGATGTGTAGCTGATGTTCTCTGTTGCCAGGAATGTTCTGGAGTGTAGCGGATGTTTCGGATGTAAGCGCAATGCTTGACGGTGATCTGGGTGAAATATATCAAAAGTTTAAAACGTACATATGATATTCAATCATTCAAAACTTTAAATCATATGATTGAATATAGATATAAATATATGATTGAATCTTGATGATTCAATCATATAGGATATTCAATCATCCAAAACATGTAACCGTTCATTAAACCAATAAATAGATAAGATGATTTAAAGGCAATTTATCCAAACCATTAAATAGATAACATGATTTAAAGGCAATTTATCCAAACCATTAAATAGATAACATGATTTAAAGGCACTTATACAAACCATTAAATAGATAAGATAATTTAAAGACAATTTATACAAACCATTAAATAGATAACATAATTTTAAGGCAATTTATACAAATGATTAAATAGATAACATAATTTAAAGGCAATTTATCCAAACCATTAAATAGATAACATGATTTAAAGGCAATTTATCCAAACCATTAAATAGATAAGATGATTTAAAGGCAATTTATACAAACCATTGAATAGATAACATGATTTAAAGGCAATTTACACAAACCATTAAATAGATAACATGATTTAAAGGCAGTTTATCCAAACCATTAAATAGATAACATGATTTAAAGTCAATTTATCCAAACCATTAAATAGATAACATGATTTAAAGTCAATTTATCCAAACCATTAAATAGATAACATGACTTATAGGCAATAGATAGATAATAGATAGATAACACAATTTAAAGTCGCGCATATCGCCCCAGGCTCGTACAAGGGGCAGTGGCTGCGCGGGCTGCGCCATGGCTACGGCGTGCGCACCTCGGCGCAGTTCGGCCAGGCGTCCGTGAGCCGCAGCCGCGGGGGGGCGTCGCCCCCCAGCCGGGGGTCCACGACCTCACTCAGATCTGACGGCGACCCCCTCGCTGACCGGGACAGAAAGGTGGGAGGGGGCTTTGACCCCCAGATTAATTGAGGGTTGGTTTTATTATTTCTATGTAATGGAAGGTGAATTTTGTAAATATTATAATATTAGAATATAATGGCCCCGCAATATTTGGTAGCGCCATGGGGGATTGATTATTCAGTGTTTATTATTAACCATGTACATTATTATTATTATTAGTGGCTGAATTCATTTATTATTCATTGTATGTTATTAACCATGTAAATTTATTAACCATATAAATTTATTAACCATGTAAATGTTATTAGTAACTGAATTCATTTATTATTCATTGTATCTTATTAACCATCAACATTATTAGTCGGTTAATTCATTTATTATTTATTGTAAAGATAAGAGAAGCTATTGTGTGCCCTTAATATCGGGGGGAGGGACAAATGGGGGATGGCATTTGTGTGTCATTTCCACCACCAAATTTTTATGAGTGTTACCAACCGCAACGCCAGGGGGGCGATGGACGCCAGACTAACACGTCTCTGTCACGTCAGGTGGACGATGGACGTGGCGGTTTCGTCCTACGCATGCGCAGTGACGAGGTGCAGCGCAGGCGTAACAGCCTCGTCGAGAAATCTTCCAACATACGCAACGTCTTCAAGGTACGCGAGACGCCTTACGCGTCTAGACGCCATACGCCTTTTAGACATTGATTCATTCGTATAAGCCATTAAGACCGTAGCCAATTATCCACTAAGCCATGAGCCATCGGCCATTAAGCTACGATCGGATGAGACATTAAGCCGTAGCTGTGGTCGTGAGGCACATCTCATGGCCTCTTCTTTGTGTCGGCCTCGTACTGGCAAGTTCTTATCTATGTCTTGAGTTTGCTACCTCGTTGAGCCATACAATGAATTGAGCCATTTAGCCACAAGCCATTTAGCCACTAAACCATTTAGCACAAAGATATTTGGCCACTAAGCCATTTAGCCACAAAGTCATTTAGCCACTAAGCCAATAAGCCACTAAGCCATGCCACAGCAGATGCGGCGACAGCGCAGTACCGGGGACATTCAGACCAACAAGGCGGCGGGCAGTATTCGGTCTACGGGCAGCTCCGCGTCCTGGATGTCCACCGGGTCTGCTCAGTCCGCCTACACTGCAGGGGACCAGCCCGATGATGGCTCCAACGCGTCCTTCATCATCGAGGTCTGTGGCTATCATCCATCACCATCAGTATCATCATTGACAAATACTGTCACATTGTTCAATTATAACCGCAAATTGTCTTTCTAAGTCCTTGGAAAATAATGCTTTAGTCGTGGTCTCATTTGTCAGCTCGTGAAAGATAACTTGAAGTTATAGAATAGAATAGAATAGAAGTGTCGGCACTGAAGAAATAGGCCCATGGCCTGTTGCCGATTCTTGAATTTTTCATGACTTGATTCACAAGGGATCCGGCCTTTGGAACCCGATCTTTCCATAGCTGACGATTGATTGAGATAGCTGCTGGACTTATTGCCTGGTCCGTAATTTGCTAGGCATTTTAAGGCTGAACATATGCTCCTGCATAGCTTCGTCTAGTCTGTTTATTAAGGCGTTCATACTCGGAGCGTCAACGATGCTATCAGGGAGGCTGTTCCACATGTAGGTTGTGTTACTTAAACTTGTACTTGATGATTTAAGATAGAGACCTTATCACTCTTCATAACATAGTCTACGTATCACCTTCTATATACTGCATACAAACTATATCAAAGGTCAGCATTAGTTCGTATCGTTTATTTCCAGGGCATATATCGCAAACCATTAATAAAAATGTACCGATTCGCGCAATCTTTAATATATGTACGGTACACATGAGACCATGCACGTACTTAAGATGTACTTGCAGGGCAAGCTAAAGAAACAGGCTCTATAAGAGAATGAAATCTGGTCTCGAACAGGAAGCTATAGATAGTTAAATTGCGACACTCAATAATTAACACTAACTTGACTTGAACCAGTTAAGTCAGGTTTCACGAGGTAATTTACAAGTGTTTACATGTGAGCGGCATTAGTGGATATTCAAACAGCTCCAGAAGCCCTAACTTCGATAGTTGTCTTCACGTCTGACGATTATCATTATTGTTATTATTATTGTTATCATAATTGTTATAATCATTGTTATCTTTTGTGTTATCATTGTTTTCGTTGCGGATATCATTAATGTTATCGTTATTGTTATCATTATCGTTATCATTATTAGCATATTTGTTACATCATTGTTATCATTATTGTTATCGTTATTGTTATCATGATTGTTATCATGATTGTTAACATGATTGTTAACATTGTTATCATCATTGTCAGGACGAGCACCTGGAGCCTAGCGTGGTCGAGACCTACATGGGCGAGTGGAAGAACGACAAGCGCAGCGGCTTTGGCGTGTCAGAACGGACGGACGGACTTAAATACGAGGGAGAGTGGTTCAGCAACAGAAAATACGGATACGGCGTCACCACCTTCAAGGTAAGGAGTGGTTCAGCAACAGAAAATACGGATACGGCGTCACCACCTTCAAGGTAAGGAGTGGTCCAGCAACAGGAAATACGGCTACGGCGTCACCACCTTCAAGGTGAGGAGTGGTTCAGCAACAGAAAATACGGCTATGGCATCACCACTTTTTACCATGAAAAGAGGTAACCCTAACGCTAGGAGAACACAGTTTCACAACTTAATTCCAAGTCGGCAAATTTCTACCCATTGAATGAACTTTGACCCATGCCACTACTTTCAATTTGAGAAATCTTGACTATGAAAGCAAAAGCACGGATATGGCCTCTGGCTCTCCTGCAATCTTAGGGAGGACATTTTTGACTTAACCACATGATTCAATATTGAAATTGAGCTCTTGGTTTGATTTGCATCTTTCCATTGCAGCTCGTTCAGCTTCGCATCTCGTTTGTTACTTAATATACCAAGCGATATCTCACTGTGCCAAGCTAAAGACGGCAGCTACTAACTATTCAATTAAATAAATAAATAAAGCATTTTATTTTTAACCCTTCCGTAATGACTTATTTCGTACGTAACCGAACCCCACATTTGACCATTTCTCGGCTATGTGCAATATGGCAGCATGGATGAATTCAATACAAAAGCAACAAACTCTTCACAAACTCTACAACTTTAATAAATAATAATACTCATAATAAAAACTTCATTTTAACTGCTACGTTACCTGTGAACTACCTTATTTCTCGGTTACGTGCAGGACGGTGACAAGGAGGAAAGAAAGCAAATACAAAAAAATATAACTCAGTACTCACTGCAGTGAGTGACAGAAAGCGTATTTTCTCATCGACGAAAACGTGAAGTCGCGGACGGACAGACAGACAGTCGGACAGACGGACATGGCGAGCACAATAGTGCATTTTTTCATAAATGGGAAAATCCGCTTAAAACTTCACTTCAACTGCTACGTTATTGATGAACTACTACATTTCTCGGTTACGTGCAGAACGGTAGCAAGGAGGAAGGCAAGTACAAAAAAACTTCATTTTAACTGCCACGTTACTAGTGAACTACCTTATTTTCTTTACGTGCAGGACGGTAGCAAGGAGGAGGGCAAGTACAAAAAAACTTCATTTTAACTGCCACGTTACTAGTGAACTACCTTATTTTCTTTACGTGCAGGACGGTAGCAAGGAGGAAGGCAAGTACAAAAACAACGTGCTCATGACCAGCAACAAGAAGAAGCACGTGTTTCTTATCCGCTCGGCCAAGTTCCGTGAGCGCATCGAGAGCGCCGTGGCGGCCGCCCAGCGCGCTGCTAAGATCGCCATGCAGAAAGAAGACATCGGCATCTCCAGGTGCATTTTTTTAGCATAATTATATTATCTAAATTTTATTTCATGTGACAGTTGCATTTTTTAACATCAATTATATTACCTAAATTTTATTTCATGAGATTATGTAAATTTGAATTTTGTTTATATGCTCGAAGTATTGTTTTCGTACAAAAATATTTTTCATTTCATGAGATTATATCAATTTAAGATTTGTTTATATGCTCGAAGTATTGTTTTCGTACAAAAATATTTTTCATTTTTTGAGATTATATCAATTTAAATTTCGTTTATATGCTCGAAGTATGGTTTTCGTACAAAAAATATTTATATTGTGCTTAGCGGTTGTTCTATAACCGTACTCATAACGATTACTATTTCGATAATTATTTTTTTTATATATCGTGTAGAAATCCTAGGCTTGCTACTCTTTTACCATGACAACACTCATGTTACTCATGTTACTCGTACGCAGGGCACAACAAGCATATTGTGGCATGTTAACATGGTAGTTAAGTATAGAGCATTACTGATGGAGGAAGAAACATGCCAGCTGAGGCATGTTAACATGATAGTTGAGGCATGTTAACATGCAAGTTGCTGCATGTTAACATGCCAGCTACTGCATGTTAAACATGCTAGTTTCTGCATGTTGACACGCCAGTTGCGGCATGTTAATATGCCAGTCGCTGCATGTTAATATGCCAGTTGCAGCATGTTAACATGCCAGTCGCTGCATGTTAACATGCCAGTCGCTGCATGTTAACATGCCAGTACCAGGTGATGACATGGTCCAGGTGATGACATGGTCCAGGTGATGATATGGTCCAGGTGATGATATGGTCCAGGTGATAACATGGTCCAGGTGATGACATGGTCCAGGTTATGACATGACCAATACGTAACCAGACGGGTTAATAACCATGAGAAGAGGGTAATCATTCACTAGTAATGATCTCTTTTCACTTCATCATGTGGATTTTTTTGTTGCTGTTGTACCGAGAGTGTTTATAAACGGCCTCGTCTGACGTGGCTGCCTCCGTAAGATTAGAATCCGACCTTACGGCCGTAGCCATCGTTTGATGAGAGGTCTGATCTAAGTGGTGGTTAATTGGAGGTCAGAGGTAAGGTCAGGTTTAATTAGACGTCAGGTCAGAGTGGCGGTTAGTCGTGGAGTCAGACGTGTCGTGTCAGCCATATAGAGAGGTTGTACCTGAGCTCCCTCCGCTCTATCAACTCGCCAAGATCATGAGGCTGTTCCCTAGAAGCTTTATTGAAGCTAATAGTTTATTCATTTCTATGAATGAAGCGTACTTAGCGAATAAAATATGATATCTTTTCCGAATTCCACTTACGCCTCCTCTTTACAGTATTCAGTTTGCTCCTACAGTCTCTCGTATTTACTGTATACCAAATTTTATAACCTCTCATGGTATTAAATATTTATTTGGTCCATTAACAGGAGCGGACTTGGCAAGAACTGTCGCCAATGCAGCAAGAAGACAAATCGAAGCTCTCCAGCCCAGCAGTAGAGAAATTTTACCTAACGATGCTCAACCCGTTTTGTACAACGACTCAAGTCTCGATGACACAGCCATGAGTTCCATACCAATATCCACTGGTCCTGGATACACCAGTTCAGGCCTCATCGATTTCCAGCCACCATCCGATCCAGGAGGTCGGCGACAGTCAAACCTGTCCATGGAGGCGACACTTCACATCCGTTCCGACTCTCTGTCGGGCATGCCGCAAGAGAGAGGTCGAAACACGCAGCGTGGAGGCCAGAGATCGAGGGGCGGTGTTCAAGACTCCGGCTTCACCAACATCCCATCGAACATAATGAACGACCGCTTCGATCACTACAACAAACCTTCTTCGCGCGCTACGTCCAGAGATCGTTCCATAGATCGTTTCGCCAGTCGCGGCACCACGCCCGTGCCGACCGAGATCGTCAACCCTCGCTCACGAGCGCCCTCGGCGCAGAGGCACACCGCGCCCGACTGTACCCCGGATTCAGGGGTCTTTGAAGACGACCCCGTTGGTGCCACAGTCATTTCTGGGGGATCAAGGAGGCCCTCAAGACCCACCTCGATGTTGCCTGGGGAAGGGGTTCCTCTCACTGGCAACGGGAGCGTTGGTGGATCCTTCAACGTCCCTTACCACATCCCGGCCAACCAGAAGGAGGCAGAAGCTTTGCTCAGACAAAGAGCTTGTGGTCAACTGATACCCCAGTCTGCGCCCACGCCCGGCGGACCTGTTAAGAGAACAGAATCACTTTACATCAATCCAGTGATTCGACAACAACAGCAACAACAACAGCAGCCAAAGGTTTTTTTTTTACTTTAAATATTTACCTTGCAGAATTCAGGGGGGGGGGTAAATAGATTTGCTTTTCCATTGCTTCTCATTTGATTTTACAATTCTGATTTATGAGATATTTTAACAAATTTCCGCTTGTATTCATCTGCTCCAACGAAATTATCTAGGCATCTCAAGAAGATTCTCATTAATAGTTACTCCATATATTACTGTTGCTCCATCATGAACCTTCCAACTGTTACAATTCTAACAAATTTACTATCGTGTTCATCGACTTATCCTCCGAAATTAGTTTGCCGTTTCGAGAAAATCCTTTTTGTATTCCATCTTGACGTCTAGTGTAACGCTTGCCGGTCTGCTGCAGGCGGCGACGTCGGGCACGGCCCTGAAGCGCAAAAAGTCCTTACCGGACGACAGGACGTTGCCGGCCACCACGCCCATCATGTCGCGCGAGCAGGCGTCCGTGCTAAGCTCGGCCCAGCGCGAGACTTTCAGGAGGCAATACGAGGACGCCCAGCGATACCAGGCTAACCCCCTCCTCTACCTCACCAGTCCATCAGTCCAGGTATGTAGTACATCGGGGCAAGTACATCGTACATTTGATTAGACACCTAGTACACCTGTGCAGTTAGCTAGTACACCTGTGCGATTACATAGTACACCTTTGCTATTACATAGTACACATTAGATTTTACATGGTACACCCATTCAGCAACCCATTACCCCAGGGAAGCTAGCCAGCCTAACCGTTCAGGCACCTATTACTCCAGTGCATCTTGCTAGTACATCCGTCAGCACCTAGCACAACCGTGCAGCTAGCTGGTACACCAACTTATGCCCCTAGAACACCCGACCAGTTGCCCACACATGACTCTTTGTTCAGACTTTGATAGGACCAAGCTGCAGTACAAGGCTCGGCAAGGAATTGTAGATAATTTGAACGACACTCCACGCGGCTTACATGCAGGGTAGTCTTTGTAGGATAAAGGGTAAAGTTATCTGTTTGTCAAGAGGCCCCATTTCAGTAGCAGTGGAGATGTGAATCATATGGCACCTCATGTTTCATATGGCAGTTTCAGTTAATCATTTCAAGGTGGGCCGCTTTGGTGGTGTTCCAAAGTTTGACAGTACAAATGATTGGGTGAATAGCTTTGATTGAACTGGTTTTGTGATACCTGGGACGACGAGCGATAGGTAGTCGAACAGTACCGACCTAAACGTCACCAAGCAATTGCATAAGCGCTCAATGTCTCCGCTTGTTCGTACTGTTCAATCACTCGTGCGGTTCCGGGTGCCTCAGGACCACTTCAGTAAAAGCTGTTCATTCGCCCCATTATCATGTTGAACTTCGACCAAGAAAATTACCCGCAAATTATCATGAATCGAAATATCTTGATGTTTGCCTCGAAATTGGTATCAAATTATCCTAACTTCCTTGCCAGACCCTGTATTAGAGATGACCAGGCTTATATCCTGCAGTATTAATGAATATATTTGTAAGAGATTCATGACACTGACTGTTTGTGAGCATAAACAGCATTATTGTTTTGCTTTAATGTGTTTTCTGACAATGAAAGACAATGCAAAAGGAAACTTTTCGTCGAATTATTCAGAATTACTTCATTCCTTGTATACAAGGCATGACATGATATTCGTAAGCATAAAAATATATAACTCGGTACTCACTGCAGTGAGTGACAGAGAGCGCATTTTCACGTCAACGAAAACGTGAAGTCACGGACGGACAGACAGACGGACGGACGGACGGACAGACGGACATGGCGAACACAATAGTGCATTTTTTCCATAAATGAGAAAATGCGCTAAAAAGTGAAATTTAATTGCATTTTTTCCTGTGCAGGACTGGATCTCGCGCCAGAAGCTCGTTTTACTTATCCTCTTCCTTAACTTATCCTTAGCTCTGATGTTCTTCAAGTTGCTCTCTTAGCAATCGACTTACAATAACACCAGCTCTTGTATTACAGAAAAGAACAACACATTTTTATAACGTACATTGTAGTATAATAAGGATTTACTATTGTAATGCTTCACGGTGAGTCGACCGTTCACTGCGTACTGGTCATTCTTCTTTGCTCATCATATTTTGGTGGAAGGCTTAGGCCATTATTAGGTCATGATTATAATTATAATTATATGGTCATAACTTAGTGATGAACAACCATCTTCAGGTTCCTCGGTCGTAGAGTTAGTCCTTGGGTTTATTTCACTTCAATCTCAACTTGGTTCGGACGAGCTCGTATACCGCTTGTCTTAGGTCACGGAATACGTCTCAACTGCTCGTTAAAGTATTACATAACTTGTCTATTCTTCATTAAAATATTCTATTCGTTATCAATTCTTTATTTAAAATATTTTATTCCATATTAATTCTTCATTATAGCATTCTATACCATGTAAATTTTTTATCCAAGTATTCTATACCATGTTAATTCTTTATTCAAGTGTTCTAGAGATAATGTCTGGCGTTATCCTATCGATGGTATAAATACAAGGACACGACAAAGTAATAATAATATTTTGGTGCCATAAGGAGTATTGTTTTAAATTCTCTTTTGTAAGTGCACCATGACAACAACCATTGTGTTCTGCCCTAGGTTTTGTTATGGTATTGTCTTAAGTTTTGTCACTCTGTTTTGGTCCGTTAATTTATTAGTAGGCTTAATGCGCAGCTTTTGCTGCTGTTGGCGTACGATTATAAAATATACTCTTGTTGGATCATGATAGATGTTTGTGGTTATGGATTGGTGCCTTGCTCGTGTGTCGAGCCCTGGTAATTATATGCTTTTTAGATATGAATTTATATCACTTGTTTGCTTAAATCGCAAATTAACTAAGAATTTAAAAGCAAAGAAAAGTCCACAAAAATTCATATCTTTATAGAAAACGTTTCGGAGACCAGCGTAAATTTACGGAAAGCGTAAATTTACGCTTTCCCTTTACCACGTTTTACTGATTCTACGAACTGACGATGGAGCTGGTCTCCGAAACGTTTTCTATAAAGATATGAATTTTTGTGGACTTTTCTTTGCTTTTAAATTCTCTTTAGATATCATTCACGATGTCAAGTCGAGATTTTTTCACATTGTGAGTCGGTGGAAAAAAATGCTAATGCCTTCACATTGCAATCGACTTCTGGATTTTATTGAAAGAGATTAGATGTGAATGAATGGAGAAGTTTTGAATGATATGTAGCCGCGATTGTTACGCAAGCAAGAGTTATACGTGTAATGTTACTCCCTCGATAACAATTTGACCCGCACCCTTAACGATTGTTATATTGAACGACCTGTGATGATCGCTAGTTTGGCTCAGCCGCTAATTTCTTTCCCTAAATATTGCATCAATGTGATGTATTCGGTTGATACCATTAATATTCATTGATTGCATGTTTTTATATCGATTGGATACTTAAAATATTTGTTCATTGGATACCTAAAAGTATTTATCAATCGGATGAGAACGTATTTATTTAGTGGATGGTAATGTTAACTAAAATATTATGTTAACTAAAAATAATGTTAACTAAAATAACTAAAATATTTATTACCTAAATTCCAATGTACTTAACCATTGGCACGCTAACTGTTGGTTAGATTGCTAAAATATCTATCAAATCGATGACAATTAATGAACTCATGTACTTGATGACAATGTTTTGGTTTGATGTTTTTTGAATGTTAAAAAAATGTGCCTAATGCAAGTTTTAAAATTCGATCGTATTGAATAAAAGTTAGCTGGTCAAAACGTATGCTTCGAGGATTTCAAATTCAAAATTTGTTTATCCCGCTGAGACGATAAAGATAATTTTTCCTGAGGTTACTTTAGCGTTTGGTATTTAACTTCCAGAAGATTTTCAGATGAAACCTAATTAATATATTAAGGTGATGCTGTGTGGTTTTAGGGTGATAGATTTATCGTGTTAGATGTTAACGTAGCTTGAGCATTTCAAGTCGTCGTCATACGAAGACTTTTTCACTTTCGTAATAAATTTGTTGGGCTTCATGAAGATATTATTATTAGGAACTGAAATGAAGATATTATTAGGAAATTAAATATTTGGTGCGAGTTTGTCAAGAGCTCGTCCATTTGTGCGAATATTCTTATTCGCGATATTTTGTACTATAATTGAAAATAACCTAATAAGCAAAATTGCTTTGGTTATCTTTATCTCAGTAATTTGTGAACGCTGTTATTGCTTATGTAATTAAGATAATTTATTGAAGTAGCAAGCGCTGTCTAATGGGGCCTACGCTGAGGGCGGATGTCTTTTTCAGATAACTTTTCGATGAATTTTTAATGCATATTCGTTGTTCTCATATGGAATAAATTCATTTGAAGTGACATGATAAGTCACTTTTTCCTGATTTTTTACCCATCAATGATTTTAATAAGTTATTTTCTTGGGCAGACTTCTGTATGTCCTATAGGATTGGAGCGGACTCTTAGGTCCCAAAGCTCAGACTTTTTATAAAGACTTGCAATTATCAGTCACTTTGTACTTACTTTCTGGTCGTTTCTTGTCACGATGTAATCAATGATTATGTAATGACTGCATGATTATAGTATTTTGTTTTTCACTGCCATTCTAGTCTGTTAATTTAACCCTTGTTGTAATCGCGCGCTGGAGCTGTGTTCATACACCCTCCTCAGTCGCTGTGTCCAGATAACTTACATAAGGGTACGCACACAGTGAAAGCAGGTTGCCAGCATGCTGGTTACCTGCTCAGGCTGGCGCCTGAAACCATATAATACAGAAGCATGTTCGTACAGGTTTTCACTGTGAACACTTACATTATTATCCTATGTTCATTCTTGTGGCAGGTTGGAGCAGGTTGCCCGCGCGGGCAAACCTGCTTTCACTGTGTGCGTACCCTAAGGTTAGTTCCTCTTTCCCGACTGATAAAACAACCCAAAATATTTAAACATGAATCACATACCTTGAGATTACTTAATTTAAAGTTTATATTTGAATGTTGGAGAGTAAGCGTGTTTGCTCAGTTAAAGGAAAACGGAAATGGGATTTCCCAGCAAAGACTCTTTTGATTATTGGAAGATTGGAAACTGCTCGAATTTTTGGACCAGTTTCCCTTAGAGTAAAAGTTGACAATTATTATTTTCATGCAATGTTTCAACTTGCTAATGTTCATATTAGGTTTATCAATCAAACATATGATTTGTACCTAACGTGGTAGATTGGTCGATCCTGTCCTTCTCTCAGACCTCATGTACGCTCTCGTGGCTTTGTCATGGCAATTCTTTACGAACTCCTGCATTTTTCAGTGTACGATAATGCAGTGCACTTTATTATATTTCAATGCAAGAGAATGTATAACTCTATTTATTTATGTATTTTGAACTCAGAAATTTAATGTGCTACGTTTTCAAAGGAGTGACCTGCTTCCCTACAGACGTCACGAACAGACAGCGGACGTAACCAGCACTGATGCGTTGTTATGTCGGAAAAAATATAACTCAGTACTCACTGCAGTGAGTGACAGAGAGCGCATTTTCTCGTCGACGAAAACGTGAAGTCACGGACGGACAGACAGACAGACGGACGGACGGACAGACGGACAGACGGACATGACGAGCACAATAGCGCATTTTTTCCATAAACGAGTAAATGGCGAAAAAATTAAACTCAGTACTCCCTGCAGTGAGTGACAGAGAGCGCATTTTCTCGTCGACGAAAACGTGGAGTCACGGACAGACGGACGGACATGACGAGCACGATAGCGCCTTTTTTCCATAAATGAGAAAATGCACTAAAAATGGGTCAGGATGACTCACACGAAGACAAATAAGGCAATGTTATTTGTATAAACTCTCACACATTTTTCTGATTGTATCTAATACACGTTTGTCCTTTCAATAATGATCGTATTTTCCCGATTCATCTGTGATGAATTTTATACCCCGCTTAATTTCTTATTATTCAGCTTGAAATCTTCTCCTAGCTCGTTCCCATGACGTTGTTATTTATGATATGTTCGAGATAAGGAACGTGAATTGGGATATTGTTGCTGGACTGAAATGGTATTGATGTCCAGCACGATAACATGAATTTGATTGTTGGTGCTGGACGGACATGGTCTTGATGTCCAGCACGATAACATGAACTTGGATATTGTTACTGGACTGAAATTGTCTTGATGTCCAGCACGATGACTTGAATTTTGATATTGTTACTGGACTGAAATGGTCTCAAATGTCCAGTACGATAACTTGAAATTGGATATTGTTGCTGGAGGGAAATGGGGTGTTCATGTCCAGAACGAAATTGTGTATAAGATTATGTCCAGCGTGTTGTACGATAGACTTTTTATTCGCTCGGAAATGAATTAAAGTCAGTCAATTGTAATCGACACGAGTGCATATTAATTGAATATTGCAGGCATAAACAGTTGAGAGGCTAAACTTCAACTATATTCGGTAAACTGTCTATGTTTTCATTATTTGGTCTGTCAGAAAACGTGTTTTTTTCTGCACTGGTCCGTAATTTGTGTGAAGAGTCCACTGACGTTTGAAAGAAGATTTTAATTCTACTTTGGATATTAATTTTGAATGTGGGATAAAAAGCGACAGTTTTTTACATTTCACATTTGCATTTTTCAGCACTTGTGTCGTTTGATCTTTTCAACTTCTCAACGCGAAATCTTCTAACTAACTGATTTTTTAAATTCTATGGATCATTCGCCGTCAATTACTGTATTGTGCAATTCTAACAAAGCCTTTCAAATTACATACATTTTTTTCACCTGACGTTGGCCTACCGACAAGAAAATTTGAATTAATTTATTTGTGCTGTTATTTTACTTGTGTAATTTCCAGTTCAGCAAACTTAAAATTGTCAGCTGTCGCAAACGTTCGACGACGGAACAAAATGCCAATTTCCAATTGCCCTATCGAATTTATTCAATTCTTTATCATGCGCCATCAAATGCATACAAATTATGAACCAACTCTCATTGGCACAAATTTATATTAAAAATAAATTTAAATTGTAAATCTCGCAAAATGTCCAGGTAAACAAATTGCAGTTAAAATAAATGATAAAAATTATTTAACTACAAACGATATGATTCATACAATTTGAATGAAGCATGTTGAATGAATTCCCTGAATGAGTTCACAAGAAGCTTGTATTAATTCCCTATATCCACACGGAAAAGCAACGTTTAATTGACGTCAATTCAACGGAAAAAATGTTTAATTAAACGTTGATACAACGTCATATGTCTGAGCGTAAAAGACATGTTATAGTCGCCCAACATAATTTGTATGACATTTCATGTCACTTTTGAGTCAGAAATCAATCTTTTGAATGATTACCTTTACGCGCCGCGTAGGTATCTTTATTGTTATATTAAAGCAACGTATTCCTTATGACGTACGTGTTGTCGCGTGATCATTTAGACGTGATCTTTGTGACGCGATCGTCGCAATGTGACCGTTGTAAAGGGAGCGTCACGACCCTTTATTCCTGTTACTTCACTTGTTTCTGTTCATTTGTCTGTTCAACCATTATTCCTGTTACTTCACTCGTTTCTGTTCATTTGCCTGTTCACCCGTTATTCCTGTTCCTCCAAGTCTCTCGATCTGTTCATTTGTCTATTCACCCTTTATTCCTGTTCCTCCAAGTCTCTCTGTTCATTTGTCTGTTTACCGAAATCCTCGAGGCGAGCCTTGTCCTTCTTCATCAAAGCGTTACTCTTATATTCTTGTCTTTTATTGCAGTATCCTTTCGCCTTTATAGGGAACAGCGCTAATAACATAAGTGATGTTAAATAACAGCAATGATGCTATATATGGCATGCAACCCTTACAAAATTTTTGAGACCGCCTAGGCGTCGGCCGAAGAATTGCAACACTCGGCGCAAAGTTATTCTGTGTCTGCTCGGCCAGCCGATCGAAGTCAACTTCAATCTTTCGTCAGTCGTGAAAAGATCCGGTCAAATGACACGATTTTAGATCTTCTGTGAACAAGGCACGAAAAGGAAAAGAATCGGCAACAGGCCGCATCAGGCCTACACTTCAGCGCCGAGATCACTATGTTATGTTATGTTAACTTCTGACCAGAATCTCCTTTATGACTTTATAGTTTCCGACTTATAGCTGGTAAGCTGTCTAGAAGCTGCCCTTCAAACCCTGAGCCGAAGCGGACATGAGCGGCTGATTTACGGGCTCCCCGGCCGAGTCCTATAGGCGGCACCTATTTCAGAGTCAGGCTCGCATCAAAATTTTGTTAGGGAAATTACGCGAAAAGCAACACACAAATGATGCTAAGAATAACATACAGATAATAACCAAAAAGATATTAACATCGGTCCAGGTTCTGTAAAATAAAAAAAAACTATCACCTTAACGGAAAAGTTTCTTGCATTATACCAGGAGCGATTCTATCACAGTAACCGAAAACGTTCAATCACAATAATAAGAGCGGTACGTTGTATCACAGTAACAGAAAAGTTTCTATCGCAATTCATCAAACAAATCAAACGAAGCGGTTTACGCTTTCAATATTATGTTACGCCTCCTATTTAAAGATTAAAGTCTATTAATATTGGTGAAGTTTCTAGCGCTGTATTTCTCTAGTTGGTAATGTGTCTTTAAAAAAATGTGGAGAGATTTTAATTATTTAGACTGATTAAATGAACAAAGAGCTGCAGCAGATGAATTTATTGAATTAATTTAATAAAAAAACAACATCCGAAAATTCGAACACACAATTTCATTTAATAGAGTAATTCAAAATTCCACAAGCGTGTTCATCATAACGTCTGGGAGAACTGATACTGAAATCTCCAGTTTTAATTTGGTCAAACTGAATTTTCGTTATCAAAGGTAAATAACGCAATATCTAAGCTTTCAATAAGTAAATAACCAGCTGATGTAGTGTCATTTCAAATCTTACATTTATTTGATCAGTTCCATGCACCTATACGATAGGGCTTACAATTTTGTTGAGATTTTGGTCTAGTGGAGAACGTTGTTATCATGATTATTTTCTTAACTATCTTCAATTGTCCGAATTATTAATACTTTGTTTGAAAAAAATAATACGACCTTGATGCAAATGAATAAAAAATTTTATCCAATTCTTCATTTACTAAATTCACTCGAAATTTTAAATCTTAAACTGGTAACAAAAAAGTGTAGAGTTTTTCTCATTTCAGTAGAATTAATTAATTGACTGGGATCAAACTGAATCGGAAAAGTTGCCATGGATGTCAACCAACCTTGGGGGAATTGATGTCAACTGTTTCTTGGTTGGACCGCGCGTCGGTGCGGATAGGAAGAAATCTGTTTCATGTTACCTAATGACGTCACTCAGTAATCTTTTTTAATTAAATTTTTAAAGTTCATATCATCGTTCATATCTCAATATATATATACATATCTCAGTTCATATATCAATTAGGTAAAGATCATCTACCAATAACTGAAACTTTCGTTACTCTGTTGCGGAAGGCTCCGATGACGGAGTTCGGATATATTTCGTATATATGTTAATTAGCTCTGTTAATGTTAAGATACCTAATACATAAATGCCTATTTTTGAAACTTACTTTATCGAGTAATCAATCCTTCGAGTCGTGAGGGGCACTAATAAATTTAGTGAGGTATGACCTGATGATAGCCTCTGCGATGATTCAACGGCTCATACCTGCCCAGCCTTACCCAGCCTTACCTATCCATACTCATTGATAATTATAAACTATATGCATATATTAACTTCATATATTAACTATATTAACTATATGAACCTCAAGGGTTTTTAAAGCGATCAGGCTTTTACGACAGGCAGAGGAGATATACTTCAAAGGCAAAGAAAGGCAGATCCTAATACTCTCGCAATAATTGCGTTCAAAAAGATACATTTCGAAGATGTCATGACGTTGCATATAAAAATGAACAAGCTCCAATGACATTCGTCTGTTATCCCGAGACAGTGTATCTTTCGTAAAAAATGTTACAGTCTATAAGTAGATAATAATTGAGAACATGAAATTCAAGTGAATGTTTGAATCTATTACTTAACATCAGTTTCGGTATATATGACTTACATTTCTACTGACAGTTCTATTAGTCATTAATCGGCATTTAATTAGATAACACCTTATATACAAAATGCAGTAATTTCATTTGACATGATGATAAGAAGAAAGGACAGAAAATTGTTTTACGCGTAAACATTTTAGAAACATTTTCTGATTCGTTTCTAAACGATAATCATCCACATTTAAATTCGGCTACTCGATAACCTCTATTTGTGTTTTCGATAAACCGACGCTAGAATCACTGGGTATCAAATGTATAAATGTAAGCTGGACCACTCCGATAAAGAGCGACGACGCATTTCCGTCAGCGTTGCCAGATGGTATATTTCTATACCAGATTTCACAAATCTGGTATTTTCAGAAGGTGTCTGGTATGAACATTTTAGATCTGGTATATTAGCCTAAATCTGGTATTTTTCTGGTATTTTCTGACCTACTGCAAATTTACTGCATTAAGTTCCACCTCTGAAGTTTGAACTTCCTCCAGCGTAGGCGTGGATTATATAGATTGCTTGCAGAGCGGCGCGATTAGAGCTTTCCCGCCATTTTTGGAACCGCAAGTTTACTGCTTGATGTTCTAATTGTTAACATTTAACAAAAGTGCTTAGTGCAATATGGACACGAGAGTGATTATCCTAGATTGATTACTGATCAGTGATGATATGGCCTAGGACGAGTGAGGTTGTCGAACCGATCTCTGCGACGCAAGCTCCACCATTTTTGTTTGGTGGTTTGAATTATAGAGTGCTACTTGAATTCTGGGGTGCCATTCAATATTTCACTGATCTTGAAAATCATCATCCATTCATAGAACTGGCTGCCTACTGCACCACGTGTCTTCTTTGACCAGGTCTCCAATGCATTCGTGGAGTGAATGTTTTTACAAGTCACCTATGTGAAAAACAAGTAACGAAATAAAATTTCAATTAAGGTACTGCAGTCCCTTATTCGGACCAAAAGCTATTTGCTCATCCGTAACAAGTGATCAAACCCGAAATGTTAGATTAATGCAATATGCAAGCATGTATGAAAATGGAAGATGACCTGTAAGCATGTATGAAAATGGAAGATGACTTGTTTCCGTGGCTTGCTCATGTTGAGCGAAGGGGAAGAAGTGCCACACTGATAAATGCACAGTACATAAAATACTTTTCAGCGCATTTTCTCATTTATGAAAAAAATGCATTATTGTGCTCACTATGTCCGTCTGTCCGTCCGTCTATCCGTCCGTGACCACGTTTCCGTCGACGAGAAAATGCGCTCTCTGTCAGTCACTGCAGTGAGTACTGAAATCTATATTTTTTTCTTTTTCTAACCAACGTTACTGACGAATAGTTTCATTAAATTTGGAGGTATTAGTCAGTTTTCGAACAATAGAATTTCTGGTATATATCTGGTATTTTGAGCTAGGCAATCTGGTATTCTCGCAGAGAAAAAACCTGGCAACACTGATTTCCGTAGTCTCAGTCGTAGACGTGTCTGCGTCAAAGTAACGTGTTGTGGTCCATGTGATTAGCACGTGGGTTCTCATTGTGAGCGTCAGCTGTTAGCAGTAAAGTATCGCGTTACACGTTTATTGAACTTTTGTTAGAAATAATATGGCTGACTACTTGATCTGCGGAGGAAACAGTTACGTACCTGAAGACGGTATGACTGGCGCCCAGATGTTTGCATGCGGTGAAGGATTAACATATCAGTGAGTATATTGTTTACCGGCATATTAATTTTTTTTTATATTATTTGCCGCCGCCTTCGCCTTGTAATATAATATATAATTAACTTCAATGGTTTTTCTTGTTCTTGTAGGTTTAATGAAACGCAGTCATATTATGTTATTTGTTAGCTTTGAGCCTTTGAATAAGGACCATTAGTGACGGACGAGAGCCTGAGCTGAGACTGAGAGGGTAGGCTAATAAAAAATGTTTGTTCAATAGGCCTACTCAGAATCAGAATTGAGACATAATTTGAATTTAGTTTATATAATGGTTCATGACTTCATGATGGTGCATACTTGCTACTTTTCAACCTCAGTACTGCAGTAGGTATTTACTGCATAGGCTAGGGCGCTAGGCTAGCCTAGTATCAAATTATCAATTAGCTACCTCTCTAAGTTAATCCATTGGTCCTGGTGGTGGTCTGGTGGAATTTGAGGGATGGTAGGTATTGCTATTGGGTCATATATTCAATATTTATTAATTCAAATCCCTAGACTTTGTTATGTAGAGAAAAACATCAAGTATAAAAAAATATCGGGTAAACGCGGTATATTCCGACACATTAAGGACGCATCGAGAAATGAAAAACTATAAAAAAATAACCGTATGCATTACTTGAGTTCTGTTTGCTTTATGTGACTTGCAAAACACCGTACTACGCGCCAGCAACAATGAAACGTCACAAAATGTTGCCATATTTACTTAAAAGCCTTTAGAATGCAAACCTACCAAATCCCTATATTCCGACACTGTGTGTGGCAATATTTGGCACGTGGTGAGGCGTATTCCGTCCGCGCTTCAAATTCTACTGATACGTAATGCCATCATTCACGTGTTCAAATTCCGATCGCTGTGTGAGCTGTATTGGAATACAACACGGCTTTGAATTAGAACACTAATGAATATTGAACACTACTTAATTACGCTTTTAATTAACAACTATTAAGCTTTTAATTAAGCAAATTTTAATTTTTGTACATAGCTTGGAATGATCTGTGTGTGTCCAATTCAAGTTGTGACGGAATTAGTTTTCATGTGTCTAAATCCATTTCTCAACTTAATCATCAATTAATTTATTTACCACTTGAAATCAGCAAATACAAGTATACTTAAAGTATTCCTAATATATTCACAGACGTATTTAAAAGTCTCAAACCATAATATTCTTCCTATACAAACAGTTATTCACTATTTGGTAGAGCAAGGTCAACTGTCAAATTTGACACATTTTTCGATGATCTCACTGGGTAGCGTGCATTGTCTCTCTTTGGATCTCAATATTTTCCTGCTAGATGGCCAAGACTTAGTGTTTTGGCAGTAGTTCAACGCGCAAATGTATGACGTCATCATTTCAACCATCAACAAACGCATGGAACTAAAACAAAGCTTAATATAAAGAAAAAACTAGAGAGGTGACGGAATTACCCATGATGTCGGAATATACCGCGTTTACCCTATTAGCTATCTGCTAGACTAGAGTGTGGAAATAGTCTGACTCTCTGTTCCAACCTGAAAGTGGATTTTTTTTAGAGTTGTGAATTCATGTATTTTTGAGCTGTAAATTTCTTACCAGTTACCAAGCAACAGAAAGCCATTTCTGAGTCATGAACTCATTTGCCAAAGCCAAACTACTGTACAAGTCCATTTAAATACACAAAGGCCCAGGTCATGAGCATTTATCATGCCAAATCTATAATTTTAAATTCTGATATGCATAGTACTGAATTTGGAAGCTGAAATTTTTGTAGATGACAGGTTTGCAGAATGCAGATTAAATGCAGACTGCAAAATTTTTGGAAGAAGAAATAAACAATCCAAATTTGAAAAACCCAGGCATTTTTGTTTGTTCATGTGTGGCTTCTCCCTGTTCTCTAATTTGGGTACAAGCAAATCTAGTTTCAGCCTCCAACTATTCTCATCCTAAATGAGGCTATATTAGCTGCATGTGTATGGTGAACTGGGAAGTGTGAACTAGTGTGTAGTTTCAAGATTCATGGATTGATCTCCCCATTTCATCTTGTTAAAATTTCATAAAATCATTCATCTTCAAATATTTAGTGGCTCCAAAATTATTTTTTATTTCTTAAGCGTCACGACACCTTTTAGGGATGTCCCTTAACACGTTGACTAGGCTAAGATTGCTTCATCTTGTACTATTATTTCATTTTTAGTACATTTTTAAAGTTTTGCCAGACGGTCATTTTTTCTGGACGAATTCCGTGATTTAGTTTTTCTCAATTGCGTTGGCCGGCTAAAATTTATGATAGGGGTACTTCCTAATTAAATTTTAAATACTGCAAAAAGAAAATAAGTTGAATTTTTATAGCAGAAGCTACAAATAAACTACAGTATATATCGAGTTATCAGCCTTTTTTTTTTTTTGCCTTTTTTATTCTCGGATTTGGCCCATTTTAGGCAACCTTAATTATGTATCACTACATCCTGGAGAAATACATTTCGTGGTACGCATATGTACCACTTTGTAGTCAACTTGTTAATCAAGTATTTTGGATGAATACCGTCAACCAGGGCTACTTGGGATGGGCGGGGTAACTCGGGACAGTCCTCCGACATGGCGTAAAACTGTTTTAGTAGCAAAACTAATTTGAATATTGCAAAACTAAACATAGTGGCGTAAATGTCTAAATTTTACCTATCTATGTAGTACCGGTACCTATAAAGGAAGGTCAAAAATAGTACCTACATTTACTAGCTTTGAAAAATTCCTGAAAAAAATGGTGAAAAACAATATTTTGGAAAGTTACTTCTGCTAAGGTCTGTTGTAAAAAAAATATTTGCCGTGTTAAAAAATTTCGTTTAGAAAAAAAGTGGCAGACAAGTGTCTGCATGAAAATTTTATTTGCGAAATTTACATACGGTACCATAAAATGGGGTTACTTCGACCGGCGGCGTAACTTTGACCACTTTTCGTTTTTGTAACAAAAAACCCCAAAACTCAAAAACGATTTGACATAGAAAAATTTTGTAAATGAAGTTACCCAGTCAATTATTCAAGTCACCCAGTCAATGATTCGAGTCACCCAGTCCATGATTCAAGTCACCCAGTCAATGATTCAAGTCACCCAGTCCATGATTCAAGTCACCCAGTCAATGATTCAAGTCTCCCTGTCAATGATCCAATATAACTATCTGAATAAGTACCCTAGCTATATAACAATCTTTGACGTAGCCATTTTCTCAAAGATAATGAAATGATCATTGATGCTTCCTCAGTTTTCATAAAAATTCTGTATTTGTTATTCTTTATGTTCATATTTCTATTTAGACCTTTGAAGAGTTGATATTTTTTTCATCCAACAGTGACTTCATCATCTTACCAGGCTTCATTGACTTCGGAGCTGATGAGGTGGACCTCAGCTCCGCTATCACAAAGAAAATCAGCCTCAAAGCTCCCTTAGTGTCGTCCCCGATGGACACAGTCACAGAGTCTGAAATGGCGATTGCCATGGCAGTAAGTTTTGCTATTACTTTGTCACTTGATGAGAACTTAAATCAGAATGATTGAATTTATACTATCGAGTATCGTATACATGTATGTGACTTAAGAAGTACCGGTAGATGGCATATTGAAGTGAAGCTGAGTGGTCAAGAAGGTAAAAAATTTTTGTATTTACGCTATTGATAACTTTGCAAATATCATATTTTGTGACATTTAATTTTGGTTGGTAGGAAATCAGTAATTTAGGACCAAGAATTCCTTCTGTGACATTGGTCAGTTGTTAACCTCATCTCTGATGTTGCCATCAGTTCCGCATATGTACAGGGTAATGTTATGGATTATTTACTCATTGAATTTGTAGATAACATTAATAAGAATGTCATGTGATTTTCCAACCTCTCCAGTACTATAAAAATTATCTTCTCAAGGTAAGATGAATAGGTATAATGCAAGAAGATTTCATTATTTTAAGTAGTAGTATGGAAATAAATTCATTTATTGCTAAAATTACTGCTGTCCTATGGACAGAATTTGTTGTATCCTAAATATTTCTTGGGTTTTTCTCAAATTCAAATAATAATATTTGCTATCTTAAGATAAATTTTATTCAGGTATATTATTATTGCAGTTGTGTGGAGGCATTGGAATCATCCACCACAACTGCAGCGCAGAGATCCAGGCTCAGGAGGTCATGAAAGTCAAGAAATACAAGCATGGCTTCATCAGAGACCCTGTGTGTCTCACAGACAAGCACCAAGTGAGACAATCCAGTCATGTTAACATGATGCTAGGTCATCTCTGATGCTGGGTCATGACCTCTACTGATGCTGGGTCATGACCTCTACTGATGCTGGGTCATGACCTCTACTGATGCTGGGTCATGACCTCTATTCCTGTTAACCTTAATATTCTTATAATCTCCCTTTTTATATCCTACAGACTGGAGCCCAAATAATTAAAATATAAAATTCATTTTATGCTGGATTAGTTGCCGCATTTGAACTTTCCTCAAGTCTACCTATATATTAATTTAAAATAATTGTAAATGTATCATGTTGGCTGGATCTTAATAATAGTCTTGAATTACTACGTACATTCATTTTATTTTGAAACATAATGCCACATTTGTACCTTTTAAAATCTTTTAATAATTATTGACTGTCACTCGTTCAGTATTTTCCTGTATTGCTCAATTTGCATAGGTATACTATATATGCCATATTCCTATATATATGCATACTATATATGGAGAGCAGTGAAATGAAGTGTCGGTTTTGTCCCAGGTTTGCGACGTGTTTGACGTTAAGAAGCAGCACGGTTTCGGTGGCATCCCCATCACCGAGAACGGCAAGATGGGGTCTCGGCTGATTGGCATAGTCACCTCTCGAGATATTGACTTCCTTGAACCAAACTCAACGAAGTTATTGAGTGAAATAATGACTCCATTTTGTGATCTGGTCACAATGCCTGCTGGCGTCAGCTTAGAGAAGGCCAATGAGACTCTGCAGAGGAGTAAAAAAGGTTGGGAAATGACTAGTTTTTAGGAAATTTGAAAGGTTTGCAATTATACCTATGCCTAGCTTCGAATCTAGGAAGACCAGGGATTTTCTAGCTTAGAATTTCATCAAGGATGGCTGGAATTATTCCTGATATTAATTGTAGGTAGTTCTAAATTGTACAAGGTATTGAGCAAAATGAGAGAAACCTTAAAATTTTATTTGACATATTGTACTATGGTCTAGGTCTACCTTTTGCAGCAATTATAGCCTTAATTCTGCAAGGCATTGTAATCCATACAAATATTGTATTGTTATTGTGTGCCTAGCACCTGCCATATGAGCACCACCATTTCAATCTCGTTGGAAGTCAAGAGGTTGTCCTGTTTTCTTCAGTTATACCCTCAAAAAATTCTGAAATATCTGCAAAAGCATAAAATATCAACAAGCAGCAATAATGAGCAATGAAACATTAAAATTTTGAGTTTTTAGTGTTTATAACGTCTTCAAAAATTATGATCTCATAACGTTAGGCGTTTCCGGTGTTTTGTTCAATATACCAACACCCGTTTTTTTGCAGGCAAATTACCAATTATCAACGAGAACGACGAGCTGGTGGCGCTGATTGCACGCACTGACCTTAAGAAGTCACGCAACTTCCCGAACGCCTCATACGACGCCAACAACCAACTCCTGGTGGGCGCTGCCATTGGCACCCGGGAGACGGACAAGCAGCGTCTCGAGCTGCTAGTGGCTGCTGGTGTCGACCTTATTGTGCTGGTGGGGTGCATGTTTGTGGCTAATGTTAAGGGCTTATATTAAGGTTGTCACAAGCAGCGTCTCGAGCTGCTAGTGGCTGCTGGTGTCGACCTCATTGTGCTNGGGGGGGGGGCTGTTAAGGGCTTATATTAAGGAACTGGTAGGGTCTAATAAGAGGGCTGCTGTTTAAGGCAGGTGTTGTGGGTTGATATTGAAGGGCTAAAGGGGTAATGTTAACGGATACCTATGGGTTTACATTAAGGGGCTAGTGGAGTATGTTAGGGGACGGGTGATGTCTTGTTGAGGGACTGGTGGTAGGGTCATGTTAGTATGTTGGTGTCGTCCTTCTCCACATGTTTCTCTGGTACGGTGCTACCTCTCATGTTAATATCTCAGATGGGTACAAGATCTGTAGACACCACATACATCGTGCCGTCCATCCGAATGATTGTCACTGCTTCGAAGTTGCGTTACCTGGAGAAGTTCTCGTCCCTAATTTAATTCATGCATGCCAGTTACTCTTGTATATTAATACCTTGTTTTCATCTGAAATAGATAACTTCAGTGATTTCTTCAATTATCTACTCTCCATTCTTTGATATTGGTGTGTTGATATACACATCGAAGGACACAAGAATATAATGTGCTTGTTATCTTGCCCCTGACAGGACTCGTCTCAGGGCAACAGCATCTATCAGATCAACATGATCCGCTACATCAAGAACACCTTCCCTGAACTGCAGATCATCGGCGGCAACGGTCAGGCATTGAAACTTCTCCTATTTACACCTATTACTTTCTTTATGCTAGCAAACAATAGTCGAATATACAACTAATATTTGAATATTTAGTACATTTGAATACTAATATATTTAATCATCATCATCCACTATATTTATATCCATATTTTGGGGAATTTACGCCATCTTCTTCAACATTTCTTCCACTGACCGTGACTATCGGCCCTTAGGTCATATGGTCGGCCCTTTGGTCATAGGTTTGACCGTGACTATCGGCCTTATCAGCCTTTAGGCTCAAACAGCATTTACGACTGTGAAGATTTAACGCCAAGTTGTTGTTTGCAGTGGTGACGGCGGCACAGGCCAAGAACTTGATCGATGCTGGAGTGGACGGCCTGAGGGTGGGCATGGGGTCGGGCAGCATCTGCATCACGCAGGAGGTGATGGCGGTGGGCCGACCTCAGGCCACCGCCGTCTATAAGGTGATGGTGGTGGGGGTGTGTGTATACACGCGGGGGAGGTGCAGGAGGCGGCGTGTATGTTGGAGTATAGATGGAGTGGTTGGTGGTGGATTTATTATACCAGTAGAGATAATGTACTGCTGGTATCAGTTGCCGCAGCCCTTCACTGGACGTACGCGCCTTGTGGCAAATGTGAGGCACAATGTGTGCAGTGACACTCGAGGCCTCTCCTTTATTGTTGCATGCACACAATGTGTCGCCTGTCTTGTTACAGAAAATACACAACTGCATTCATTCTGCCTTCGTTGACGTATGAAATAAGGTTAGCTGTATTGCTGAATATTAGTTACACTCACATCGTCCATGTCATCACACATCATCCACATCACAAATCCTGCCCTTCCCCCCTCATAACCTTCGTGCTGCAGGTGGCCGAGTACGCGCGACGCTTCGGCGTTCCTGTGATGGCTGACGGCGGCGTGCAGACCGTGGGGCACATCATCAAGGCCCTCGCCCTCGGGGCCTCCACTGGTGAGCCTAGGATACCATGCTAGGCTCACCTAGGAGCCTAGAATACCTAGAGGCCTCTAGGAGCCAAGGGCGCGTTAAATTATCTCAGCTAGCCGGGGCTCGAATCCACAACCTGTTGTGGCAAACGAAAGACTTGCTGGACGCCTTTCAGATGATACAGTTGTGTTATTGTACTTCCAAAAGAAACGGGGCATCTTTGTATTCTGTATTATTGCCCGAGTCAAAGAGAACTTTATTGTGTTCTACGAAGAGAACACTATTGTCGCTTTTCTTGTGGCTTGAATCAGGACTTCATTTTCTTAACTGCCCCGGAAAAGAGCACATTATTATTATGAATTGTGAAGCATAACATGGCTGTGAAGCATAACATGACTGTGAAGCATAACATGACTGTGAAGCATAACATGACTGTGAAGCATAACATCATTATGAAGCTCAACATAATAGTGTTCCCTATTTTTGGCAGTAATGATGGGCAGTTTACTGGCCGGCACCACAGAAGCACCCGGCGAATATTTCTTCAGTAACGGCGTGCGGCTGAAGAAGTACCGCGGCATGGGCTCCCTCGAGGCCATGGAGAAGAAGAACAGCCAGGGCGCCGCCGCCGACAGATATTTCCATGGGTCCGAATTATTTAATTGATACAAACTTTTACCGGTCATTTATATATCTATCAATTTCTTTATAGGCATTTTCTCATGAGAATATCCAGATTTTATCCACAGAGAATACAAATTTTTACTGGTCATTTATGTGTCTCAATTTCTTTATAGGCATTTTCTCTTGAGAATATCCCGATTTTTATTTGTATTTGTGAACATTGCCTTTGTCTATTTCGTTCGTTGACAAAACCATGATCATTACTGTGCAATGTTCAACATCTAATTTCATATTATTGCACTCAACTTGAGCTTAAAATATTTTATTATTTTTAGCGCATTTTCTCATTTATGGAAAAAATGCACTATTGTGCTCGCCATGTCCGTCTGTCCGTCCGTCCGTCCGTCTGTCCGTCCGTCCGTCCGTCCGTGACCTCAAGTTTTCGTCGACGAGAAAATGCGCTCTCTGTCACTCACTGCAGTAAGTTCTGAGTTATATTTTCTACTTAACATACGTTTAAAGTTTTTATTTAAGTTTTCTTAAGTCTTACTCTGGTTGGTTGTTGCAGAGAGAAGGACGGCATCAAGGTAGCGCAGGGCGTGAGCGGCAGCATCGTCGACAAAGGCTCCATCATCAGGTTCTTGCCCTACCTCATATGCGGCATCAAACATGGATGCCAGGATGTGGGCGCTAAATCCTGCTCCATGCTCAGGTATATTCAAGTGCTCTGCTGCTCCAATCAGGTATATTCAAGTGCTCTGCTGCTCCAATCAGGTATATTCAAGTGCTCTGCTGCTCCAATCAGGTATATTCAAGTGCTCTCCTGCTCCAATCAGGTATATTCAAGTGCTCTCCTGCTCCAATCAGGTATATTTATGTGCTCTTAAATATATCTGTTTAATGTATCAGTAGTTGATACTGATTTTGTATCAGTTGCTTGTTTATCATTGTCTCTCTCTCTGGCTTTACATTATTTAGAATTTATATCTCTGATATCAGATACTGATAAGCTAGATCTAGTACTGATGGGTCTAGTACTAGTACTGATACTAGTACTAGTACTGATGGTGGGTGGGTCTTCCTGATTATATTAGCCCGGGACGTGCCATGTCTCTGTGTTCTTGCTGGGGGTAAGAAATGCGTCAGACTATTTGGACAATACGAGTCATTTATTTTCTGAGTGCACGCAGCTGTGAACAACTCCACACGATGTCATAGCCCTGCAGAGGCGAGCTTTAGTGGCCTACAGGCGGTGTTTTGTACACGTTAATTGCATTATCATTTATGATGGTGATAGTAGTGTAGTACACTGTATTATCATTTATAATGGTGATAGTATTGCTGTAAACTGCAGTGCTACTGCGCTTTATGATGTCCTCACTGACCCTCATACTGCTGTCCTCACCGAGCTAAATGTCCTACTGTGCCTCACTACTGACATGCTCGCTACAAATTTTCACGCTATGCCCTGAATATTAGTGCCTCAATTTTAATCGTACACAACATGACCATTTATCCTTCACTGTAGGTACCTCCGCTTCTTAATGTTGTTTTGTTTTATAAACAAACGCCTTCTTGTATTACCTCTGTAAAAACTGTGTGCTGACCTCCACACAGGGAATTGTAAACTACACTTCTGCATACCTGCCTGCTCTTGTGTTGTTGTGGGCTACCCAAACCTGTGTATGAACTCGTTAGAAGCAGTACTTGAAATACTTAGAAGGTGCACAAGCTCAAAAATGTCCAGAATGACACTACTGAGCGCACAGTTCTGTTTGGTCCTGTATTTGTTATTTGTTCAACAACGCTTCATCAGCCTGCGTACCACGTTGCCTCCATGCCCAAGTTTTCGTGAACCGCAGTGAATTTTCTTGCTTCAGCAGTTTTGCCCCTGCCGCCGTTTATCTCTTGACCTCCTCCCCGTTGGCGGAATGCTACCATTTTAGGTTCCTTTTCATTTGAGGTTCCTTTTCATTTGAGGTTGCTTTTCATTTGTGGCTATCAATACATTCACCAGGAGCCATACATGATGAACAATGTAAGTGGAACAAGATAGTCATGCCTTTTCTTGTCATAAAAGCTGTCACTGAGATGGCAGTGATGGCTCTGGGGCATCATGGTGAAAATACCACCACCAAACTGCCACATTTCAGACTTTTTCTGCCGTAAAATATTCAAAGCTTCTCGTCGCCTCCCAAATAAAAAATCTGGTTGACGATCCACCAGTTGAAACAAATTTTGCGTGCACCGAAAAACTAAACTAGCCTTATCTCCAAACTTTTCAGCAAAAAAAAAAAAAACGACGGCTGGGCAAAAATTTTCAAGCGAGAAATTTCACTGCACTAGACGAAACCTTCCGCATCAAGACAGGTTGCCTCGCGGACTGTGATGATGTGGCTTAACAAACTGTGATGATGTGGCTTAACAAACTGTGATGATGTGGCTGAACAAACTGTGATGATGTGGCTTAACAAACTGTGATGATGTGGCTTAACAAACTGTCATGATGTGACTGAACAAAAAACGTGCGGTAGACTCGCCTACGAATGACAACAACGTCACAGTGAAAAATGTATTGTGTATCATTTTCGTATTGTATTGTTATCCCTTGTTTGCAATACCTGTATAGGTGTGGTACTAACCTTGCTGTGCTAACTGTCCACGCTGTGCTGTGACTAACCCTGCTGTGCTAACAGGTCCATGCTGTACAGCGGAGAGCTGAAGCTGGAGAAGCGCACAGTGTCTTCTCAGCGTGAGGGAGACGTGCACAGCCTGCACAGCTACGAGAAACGTCTCTTCTAACTTGCTGTGTAGTTTGTGTACAGCGCTGTACATGTGGCACTAGTGACTAGTACATGCAATGTCACTAGTACAGCACTGTACATGTGGCACTAGTGACTAGTACATGCAATGTCACTAGTACAGCGCTGTGCATGTGGGACTAGTGACTAGTACATGCAATGTCACTAGTTCAGCGCTGTACATGTGGGACTAGTGACCAGTACAGTGCTGTGCTCCTGTGACCAGTACAGTGCTGTGCTCTTGTGACCAGTACAGTGCTGTGCTCCTGTGACCAGTACAGTGCTGTGCTCCTGTGACCAGTACATTGCTGTACTCCTGTGACCAGTACAGCGCTGTGCAGTGTGCTAAGGATCATTTGTCTGTGGAAGGCACAGCCATTCGAAGTACTGCAGTAGACTGTTATATGCATTACGCTGCAGTGTGAAGTATACTGTGATGCACAGCGTACTGTAAGGTGCAGTGTAATGCAATGAGCAGTGTTATGTTTCTGTTGAATGTACCGTTAACAAGAGACCCTCACCCTTAAGTTAAATGACTATTAACTCCTTAGCATTCACTCCCCTCTCCTCTTAAACATTCCATTGCTAACAAGACGTCGTAACATTCGTTATTTATTCGGTGAACGCTTCAGCTATTCTCTATGCTGATGGATCTCATATCAGGGTATTACAGTGATTGTACCGAGTGTGTCTAATTAGGCCTAATATTTTTCCATTATTGATTACGACGTTTTTGGAGGCCGATATCTTCTTACATTTACGATTATGACGTAGTTTTAATCTGTTCGATGTGTGAGGTCGAATATTTTTGCTGTTATGCGTATACCATGTTGTGGTAATATCATAATATGGTATTTACCATTGTGATTACCATAATTATCATGATATGGTAATTACCATTGTGATTACCATAATTATCATGATATGGTAATTACCATTGTGATTACCATAATTATCGTGATATGGTAATTATCATTGTGATTGCCATAATTATCATGATATGGTAATTATCATGTTTTGCGGCCCACTTTCTGCATAATATTTGTTCATTAACTGACGATGCAGTGAGCGTGATGTTGCGTGTGATGAGTTGAAGTAACCACTTTAATTGTATTCTAGCGAGACGTCTGCAATAAATGTGATAAAGGGCTTGCCTGGATATGTGATAAAGGGCTTGCCTGGATATGTGATGAAGGGCTTGCCTGGATATGTGATGAAGGAGTTGTGTTGCACCGCGATGGTTGTGTTGCACCGCGATGGTTGTGTTGCACCGCGATGGTTGTGTTGCACCGCGATGGTTGTGATGATATCCTAAGTTGTAATGTAGTTTTAAAAATTCATGTGCCAATTTGTGCGAATTTTCCTCAATTTTTGACGCGCTGAGACCAATAATGTTACCTGAACTGTTCTTCTGAGAATATTCGTCGTTGCATGTTATCTTAATTAATATTAAATATCAACGAATCAACAACACAAATATATTGCATTCCTGACTCTGAACATCAGTCGTTGCATGTTATGTTCATTAATATTAGCTGTCAACGAATCAATAATGAAAAATTATACATTAATACATGCTGCATTCCTGACTCCGAACAATGTATTACAATGCGGGTATGTAATATGACCTGTATTTCTTACACGTGCATTTTGTGAAGAATATTGCCGTATTTATCACACGTGTTAGGTTTAGTGGAGGCTCCAGATCTTAGCGTGTGACAAGCCCTTCTTCTTGCCATAAATTCTCTCTATTTTATGTAATGGCCCTCGTAATAAAATGTGTGTCATCCTCACATTTTCTATTTAACCTTCAAAACGTTTCTCATAAGCTTCAATAAATTTATTAATAAAATAATCTAAATTAATTAATATCGTTGTCAGGGACAATATTTACACGCTGTTATATTATTAACATCTAATCTTTAGTTCGATGAGAGACGAAGTGTTAACATTTGTATCAGTTGATAATGAATTGGTATATAGTAAATTAGCTCATATCCATGCCGACAGTTTTTGTCATATTCCTCGCGCGGTATGGCAAAAATTCCTACACAATTGGGAAATTTATATGGTTGGAGACGTGCCCCCTGTAAAAAAAAATTTACAGGGGCGGGGCTCATATTGTTATGGTGCCTGCAGCGTTGGTGTGAAGAGCAGTAAGTTGTTTACAACTTAACAGCACAAAGGAAAATGTTCAATGTTGTCCAAATAATGACGTACTTTCTTACCCACGGTACAAGCCGAGATACTAGACACTTTTATGTCATAACAGCAATACACTTGTCGGGCCAAATTGGGCTCGGCTTTGTCTCTGTTTGAACAATCACTCGTTAACCGTTTCTTATCACTAATTTCTTCCACCATTTCTTATCACTCGTTCCTTCCACCATTACTTATCACTAATTTCTTCCACCATTTCTTATCCCTCATTTCCTCAGCCACTCACTTCTATCTCGCTTATCTCTGTTCTATTCTCACTTCACTTCTCCGCCGCCAGGATGATGTCCTACAGCGGCGAACTCAAGTTCGAAAAACGTACTTTGTCAGCGCAGAGCGAAGGCAGAGTGCACAGCCTGCACAGCTACGAGCAGCGGCTTTTCTGAGCCCGAAATCCGGCCTTCCTTCGCCTTCTTCTTCACTTCTAAGCCCACAGGACGGAAGTCCAGCCTTCCTTCGCCTTCTTCTTCACTTCTAAGACGCGGGACGGAAGCCCGGCCTTCCTTTGCCTTCTTCACTTCTAAACCCACAAGACGAAAGTCCGGCCTTCCTTCGACTTCTTCTACACTTCTAAGCCCACAGGACGGAAGTCCGACCTTCCTTCACTTTCTTCTTCACTTCTAAGCCCACAGGACGGAATTCCGACCATCCTTCACTTTCTTCTTCACTTCTAAACCCACAGGACGGAAGTCCGGCCTTCCTTCGCCTTCTTCTACACTTCTAAGCCCACAGGACGGAAGTCCGGCTTCCTTCGCCTTCTTCTTCACTTCTAAGCCCACAGGACGGAAGTCCTGCCTTCTTCTATCTTCTTTAACGCTAAATTAATTCGCTCATCGTGCAAGTTCCTCCTAGTCATTTATTGCAGCTATGACGGACAGATACACATGAATCAAGGTGAATATTCAGCTTTGTTCAATGTTTTATTTTAAACTCTGCGTTCATTGAAGAAAATGTTTATACGCGGATAATTTGAAAATGCACTGATTATAACTCAGCCATCAGTGCATTATGGGTGCAGGTAGGGATCAATTTTTTAACTGCATTTAAGAGAAACGTAATCTCTATCATGGAATTTCTTTTAGAAGTGTCATTGATTGTCCGAGGAATGTCGATACGACAATTTTAAGTCATTGATTCAAATGTACGGAAATATTTGCTCGTGTAGTCATCAAAGTTGATGGTCACGTGCTAAAACTTTGGGGCAACGAGTCGTGGGTTCCAACTCCGGCAAACTGCAAACATTCTGTCGCTTGTAGGCGGCCCCATCCTTTGCTCATAGCGCGGCCGTTAGTGTGTGGTTCTAAACCTAAGGGGAGATCTAAGCCTGAGGGGAAGATCTGAGCCTATAAGGAGGAGATCTAAACCTAAGGTGGAGATCTAAGCCCAGGGTGGAGATCTAAGCCCAGGGTAAAGATCTAAGCCTTAGGTGGAGATTTAGCCTATGGGGGAGACCCAAGCCCCTGGGGAAAACTAAGCCTTAAGAAGATATCTAAGCGTAGCGTAAGCGGAGATCTAAGCTTTAAGGTGGAGATCTAAGTCTTGGAGATCTCAAGAAATTTAAGCTCTGAGACTCAGGCTACTCAGCTTATTAATTTCCGAGTGGCATGATCAATGCTTAGTAACAACGCGCAGTTTGCTTCGAGCCATTTTAATTTATAGTCATTCCTTTTCTTACTTTTTTTAACGTTTCTCTTCGACGACCTTTTCCTTATTAGTTGGATATACAAGTATGTTTGATAGGAAATTTCTGTGATTTTACCGCGTTTCGAAATTGAACGTTTTCATCCGTTTCAAAATTTCGTTCTCAGAACCTATGTTTTGAAAAATTGTACAATGGAAGAGAACCTCATACTTTGCATGGTGGACGTGAAATTGTACTCGTGGACATAAAATTTATTAGGTCGTATGTTCCACTCAGAGGAATGAGTGTGACTTTGTCCAAACAGCGATGTACTTTTCGCCCATGATCATCTTGATTGTTTGGCCTGTAGGGCGTTTCAGTGCTAATGCTACGTTGACCCTCTGCTCGTACTGTAGTTAAGAAAGCGTGTCAATATCAGGACGGCAAGACCAATTCATTTTTGTGAATGCAATATACAGTCGCTATATTCTATGTTCAGTTCTAATATCATAGAATTTTTCGAGCGTGTTAGCTTTTTCGCTATGGAGTCTAGGTTCGCAGCTACTTGGACAGCGGCCGTACCGTACTGTCAAACCGGCCGTACTGTCAAACCGGCCGTACTACACGTAGCGGCCTAAGTAGACGTAGAGGCCGATATCTCGCCTGCGATTGGTGGATTTAGCTTGAAGAGCCGTCATTGACTGGTTAATTTAACGACAATCTCCTAACTTATTGATAGTACGGCTAGATTCCTGCATCTCGGAATAATTTTCTCGAAATGAACCGGGACGAGACGAGAAATTACCGGGAAAAAATACGGGACAGAATTTGTCCCGGAATTAACGTATGAACCGAGACAAGACTTGTGTCCCTGGCTTTAAAACTTGTATCCCGGTAATTATGAAATGATACGAGACAGGTGGATATAAAACGAGACGTGGCGTAACGAGACGAGACATTTCTTAAATATTCAAGGCGTAACAAGATATTCCTTACTTTACGGAAACAAAATTCTCTTGATTCTAGAAAGTCGTTAATTCCATCGCAATCTGTAAGCTACCGTAAATGAGAGTAATTAGTCCCACCTTTTGCTCTCTGAACTTGTTAACATAACATAACATAGTGATGTCGGCTCTGAAGTGTAGGCCTGATGTGGCCTGTCGCCGATTCTTTTCCATTTCGTGCCTTGTTCATAGATCTAAACTCGTGTCATTTGACCGGATCTTTTCATGACTGGCGATAGTTTGAAGAAGCTACTAGACTTCCACCGGGTTCGATAAGGAGCTAGGCATTTCAAATCTGAACATATATTTTTCCATAGCTTTATCTAGTCTGTTCTTGAACGCGTTCATACTTGGAGCGCCAACGATGTCATCGGGGAGGCTGTTCCACATGTCAGTGATTCGAAGCGAGAAGAAATTTTTGTCGCGTGGAGAAGTTGCAGTGCAATTTTTTTAGCTTGTAGCCGTGGCCCCTGGCCACGTTTCGTTTCGTTTAATCTCTCGGTCATTTAATTTTACATCAAAGATTGTTAAAAAAAAAGAACCATAATTGTTTCCCTAGCAGATGTCTCATTAAGACTTGTTGGCTAGAAGCAGGCTCACGACGAAAAATACAAGAATCGGCAACAGGCCATGGGCCTATTTCTTCAGTGCCGACACTTCTATTATATTCTATGAACAAGAATCGGCAACAGGCCATGGGCCTATTTCTTCAGTGCCGACACTTCTATTCTACTGGCCGCTACTCGCTATTAACCCCTGAAGCAGGCAGTACCCCTGTATACGAGGCCACTAGCCTGGTAATTAGTGACGATTAGTAATGACCGAAGTTTAAATCGAAAACAAAGCAACGCAAAAATTTGCGTGGATTCCTGCCACGGAGTCTGGCTATTAATTAGATATGTTTTACAGTTCATGCAGATCCGCTCAGAGCTCGGTTACCAATTTTGTCCCGGTTACCAATAAGAACTTGTGAGCTGTTCAGTTTAAGTTTTTTCGTTCAAATCGATAACGAAATGACGTATAAATTCACAATAATTCCCCTCGCTGTACATTTTGAACAGTTAATTATATTTTCAGTTTCCCCCTGGACCTTCAAATTTGCTCAATGGGCAAGAGCGCTATCACTTTCATTTATAGTAATATTTATTGAAGCGTTGTGGAAAAACAAAATGTTCATCAAATAATGCCTGAAACTATTTATTATTTAAATTATTAAAAATTAACTAATACGTCTCGTTGTCTCGCTATGTCTCATTGTAAAAAGTAAAAATTCAGGAAAATTTTAAAACCCCTTTTAACCGAGACGGCCCTTTTCGTCTCGATATTGTCCCGGAATTACCACGGAGTGATGAAAACTGTCCCAGTTTCTATTTGTAACCGGGACAAACCTTGCTGTCTCGTCTCGTCTCGAATGGACAAAAAGTACCAAACGTAGGATTCTGAGTACGGCCACAGGTTCGTATCCCGTGGTGTCTACATGTATTGTTTTTGCTTCAGTTTTGTGTTGTTGGGTATCCTGGGCCTATACTTTCAAAAAGAAGTTAAGAGATCGTAAGTTCATCAGCCAATCATTGACGGCCTTTCAAGCAAAATCCACCAATCATGGACAAGAAAATAGAGCGTAAGTACTTACGTTCACTTAGCGAGTTTTGAAAGTATGGCCCCTGGTATCTACCCTGCCGATGTTGCCGTTAACTTGCCTCGGTTCATATACGACAGACTTTTCATAGCAGTTCATATACAAATAACGGCCATGTGATTATTCAATATTTGCTTTATTAAATTTATCATTTCCATAAAAGATTTATTATCAGATGACCTTCGGGCACAACAATAATGTTGCTCCCCCCTTTAGCTTGGAACTTTGTTGTTGTTTCTTTCATTTTATCCGTTACCATTGTAGTGCAGAAGTATTTATTACGTCATCACATCATTGATTAGACATGTTCATCAGTTATTAATTATAAGTTCACATTATTAATTAGAAATGTTGAAAGAACGGCACTCAGTTTCAAATTCATCCAAGATTTCGTCTTGTAAATCTGCCTCCGCAGTGCTAAGACTAATGATGCGAACGCAGGCTGTAACAACGCGTTAATAATAATTATGTTGTAATATATTCCGCTGGTGACACAGGCGACTTCTTCATAACCTATCCTCAAGTCGGACAAGCAACTCGAGTTCAACACGCAAGTTTCCCCGCTTAAGGGGAGCGTCTACCCTAAAATCGAAAATTTCCCCTTTTTCCGTTTTTGGGCTCGTTTAAAAGGTCGGCAAAAACGCGGACCGTATCGAGGCAAGATTGCGGATTAAGAATAGTTCTGCCTGAGGGAACCTCTGCGTTGTGATGCCAGACTCTCGCTGCTGAAGAGCGACAAGAATTTCTATAATACAACAACCATCATTAATTGATGGTTGATTGATTGACTGATGGAACAACCATCATTGACTGATGGTTGATTGACATTTCGATTAAGAGCTTAATAAATCAAATAATTGAAGTTTACATTAGAGCGTCATAGTGGCTAACTTGCTCTCTAATTTCACACAATTTAACAACGCATGACGCTTGCAGCATTCCCGTTTCAACTGATCTTTTGCTGGAATGTCGATAAAATTGTGAGAAAATTGCAAGTTATGCGTAAGAAACTAGACTAACTATCCTGCAACGAGTGTCTACAAGATACTACAATATGATGCGACATATCTCAAAGATTAAAAAAAATATCTTTGCTATACCCGTGGTTTTCAATAGGATAAAAAGACTGTGGCTACCATAACAATATATGGAAATGCAAAGGCACCTCTGGCTTATGCTGCATCACAGCAGCGGGAAGGCAGTCATCTCAAGGCACAATAAAAATCTTATAATACAATTAACACAGACTCAACTTATCGCGTGTCGCAGTTTGAAACCAACCTTCTAAGGTCCGAAATTTTTTGCGAGTGAACACATCAGACGACCACGTCATTGTAGTGCATAAAAGTCTGCTCGCAACAGTTTAAGTAATAAAAGAACAGCAGCAGATGCAAAGGATTTGCATGCTCTATTTTTGCATAAAACGTCAAAGTTATAAAGAAACTGAATCAAAAAGGGGAACATTAAATAACAAATGTAGGAAGCGTGACGCCAAGTTTGTGCGTTACACGCAATATTAAATGCGGTTTGATTGAGCGGCGCGACACCGTGGCAGTAACTGACGGAAAATATCGTATAACGTTCGTGGAATGCGTAATGTTTTGTACACAGTGATGTACTAAAATTCCCCAGTAGACAGTGCCTTTAGAAAGACCAAACAGTCAATAAAAGTGACCATTATTCATATTCACCTCTGTCGGGTGGAATTCGTTTTGTACACAGTGATGTACTAAAATTCCCTAGTACAAAGTGCCTTTAGAAAGACCAATCAGTAAATAAAAGTGTCCATTACTCATATTCGCCTCGGTCAGATGGAATTCGTTTCCTTCCTTAAAGGATTTTCCAAATAAGAAGAGCAGGTAATCAACATCAAGCGGAATGTCGTAGCAACAATAAAATATTAGCACACAAGAAGTTAACACGAAAATACACCCACACTTCGAATTTCTAGTTGTCAAAGAGACATCTGGTTACGAGCCTCGAGATTATTGTCTATTAATTTCAAATTTCTAGTGATCATAGAAACATTCAATCACAGGTCTCAAAATTATACCCTGGTTAACTTCAATGCATAATACTGGAATAAGAACTAGAAGATCCTGCTGGGTACATAACCTGGGCGGTCTTTAGTGAAGAAAAACTTTGAAGACAAGAGAGTTGTTTAACTGAAGTTCTGCAAGACGTAAACAGGAATACACTTTGCGAATACTATAAAGACGACATTTTGAACGCTTATCAGTGGACTATTTGACTGAGAGTAAATTGCTTATGAAGAAATTTCTGTAATATAAGAATGGCACAACACAAGGCTCAAGTGAAGGCAGGCATGTTTGTGCCAGACAGACAAATGTCGTGGAACACGGAACAAGGGTAATGGACCATGGAAGAGGGGTTATTGAACATGGAACAGTGGAACAAACACGTAAGAAGGCTCAAATAAATGGTACAACAATTTTCCAAATGCGCGCTAGGTTTTCACATATCGGCAGGTTGGAGAACGTGAAGAAATAGTGCGGTAATAACCGCAAGTCTTAATATTTTATATCAAGTCAAATAAATGCTTATAAAAGATAGAAATGCACAACACTTTTTACAAAGCCCTTTTAGCAAAGCTTATTATTAACTTCTCAGTATAATTTAAACCTGAAATGGTAAATTGTCAGCAAATAATATATATGACTTAAATAAAGAACTGATACTGTACAGCAACGAACACTCTGAGGCGACGTCAAATCTATCCAATAGCCGAGGTTGGTCAAATGTACAATACAATGGAATAAAATATTTGGAAGACATGTCACACAAAATTGCACTACAAAAATAGCATCATTTGTTGTAGCAAAAATGTGCAACCAGAATCAACGTTACAGCGGAATTTTGCCACGGCAGTTTTTTTTATAGCGAAAACAAAATAGAAGATGGAAGACAAGCATTCATCGTTAGAGCTAAATATATCCACAGACGAGCCAATTACAGACCATACATTTAATAATATTACCAGACCATAAATTTAACAGTATTTGTGCGGAGTCAATTATATAGCAGAAAGTATTTATAATATCCTTCAACATGGAGAAACAAATACGTCCTCGCGCACGTATCAGGGAAATCACTTATTAAAATTTAACAACTTTAAAGCAAACTTTTCAGGTTTTTCAAGGTGATTTTAATGCAACCAATATTCGCATTAACACGCGAAGGTCAAGAATAACAATCGTGAATTTTCCGCGATGAATCGTAGTAGCTATTGCACGTTCACTGGTGACCAATGACGATATCAATTTTTCAGATAAACACAAATTTCTGTTGAACACAAAACCCTTCAAGGAGAGAACAATTTCAGGTGGAAATGGCAATGAAGTTAGAGAGCCAACAAGGACTTTTCACCGCAGCATCAGGCAGTAACTGCAATTACACTGCGCTGTCATCAATGACTTTTCAACGCAGCATCAGGCAGTTACTACACTTACACTGTGCTGTCATCAATGACTTTTCAACGCAGCATCAGGCAGTTACTGCACTTACACTGCACTGTCATCAATTTTCAATGCAGCGTCTGGCAGTAACTGCAACTACACAGCGTTTATCAAACGCTCTCTAAAACAACAATAGTCAGTAACTTGAAGACTATAAAATAATCATCAAAATCGGTGTTTCAAAGATCACGAAGGCGTTGCAGCAGCGCAGCCTGGTCCCCTCCGTTGGTCGGGGCACCTCCTGCCGACGACTCGACGAGACGATCACGAGACTCGAGACCTGTGGGCAGTCCAGGGGCGCGGCGCTCGCGAGGGCGAGACTTGCGGGGCAGCATGCCGTTCTCGTCAGCCCCTGACAGCAGCCCATCCAGCGTGTCAGGAGCTGCTGACCTGTACAATATTTATTATTAACAGTTGAACTTGACGTTTTTAACGTGATTTATTTAATGGTATGTAAATGCATAGCATTTAACAACCACATTACACGCTCATGCAGTACGTACATAATTGTACCGATCGAATCATGCAACGACCAATAATTGGACCTCTAAAACTAGCTTTCTTCTTTCAGTAATTAAATCAATCTTAGATTGTCCTTATCAAATAATTTAAGTACATAATGCGTTTGTCACGTCAAGCTAAGAAGCTTATCCTTCGTTAAGGATTCATAATTATTAATAAATCCCTTATAGATCCAAACATACAATTAGATAATGACCTCAAAAACTCAAAAAGCATCAATGTAGCAGAATTTTGATTGATGTTATTGATAAATTAAGTTTATTAATGATTAAATTGATGTTATTAATGGTATACATTAAGGTTATTATTCCCAAGCGATCAGGTTATTGACTGTAGAAAATTCTCACAATTTGGAGGATGAGGAGGGGGAGGTGAGACCAGACCGTGAGCGGGACCTGTTGAGCTGTTCTGCACGCCGCTCCGCTAAGCAATGAATACAAAATGTTAAAATATATATATTCAATAAATACGTTAGTTGACGAATATAATGAGAATTTTGAAAATATTCAATAAATACCTGAATTGAAATAATTTATATAAAAATAATTTTCAGTAAACATTTCAAGGTCAACGACACGTTATGGGATTCAACTGTTAATGGTCTTGATTTTAATATTACTGCTCCGTCCGTCGTGGGTGCCTCCTTAGCGACAACATCACGCATCACGTACGTGACAAATACAAGGGCTTGGGTCCAAAAACTAGGATTCTCATGAATGCTAAGAAAAGAAATTTTAATATTATGACGGACGAATGATAAATATTAATAGGATGATGATACATATTATTCAACCTCGAAGGAGATGCTAACCACTCTTGCATTTGTGTTAAATCCGCCGTTTTGTGAGCGTTTCATTATGATGAAATCCTAAAATATCGTAGTTAAAAGTTAAACAAAAAGATACTGCTAAAAAAGTGCTACAGGCACCTCTTGATGCGAGACCTGTCAACTAACCTGCACTCTTGGGCTGCCGCCGCCTACGCCCCATCACATCAAAGACTAACCTGCACTCTTGGGCTGCCGCCGCCTACGCCCCATCACATACGCCCCATCACATCAAAGACTAACCTGCACTCTTGGGCTGCCGCCGTCGCCGCCCCATCACATCAAAGACTTGTCCCGTGTTGATGAGCTGCACCAGTTGGTCCATGACTTCCGTGTTTGTTTGGTCGTTGGTGACGTCCTGTAGGGCGCGCTGCCTCGTGTCTCTGTCAGCTCGGTCAGCGCGCTCCAGTTCAGCTCGAGCTGCAGCCTCTTCGTCGCGCCGCTTCTTCTCTTGGCGTCGTATGAGGTCCTCTTTACAGCGCTGATCATCACAACAAACAAATTAAATTATACTGCGGTTGAAAATTACATACAATATATTGAGCTTTAACCCTAAGTTCACAGATGAACTAACACAAGTTCATGCCTCCTCAACTTTTGACACTCGGCATAATTTGAGCCCTTTTTAGTGCATTTTCTCATTTATGGAAAGAAAGGCGCTATTGTCCTCGTCATGTCCGTCCGTGACTTCACGTCACGGACGGACGAGAAAATGCGCTCTCTGTCACTCACCGCAGTGAATACTGAGTTATATTTTTTTCCTGCTGGCTTAGTTGTACGTATGCATTCTCAGCCTAGCGTCCATCTGATGCAAATCGAATTCGAAAAATTAAAGTGCAATTTTTCTGTAGCAAAATAAAAACTTTACATAACCATGAAGAACATGAATGTTTCGGAAAAAAAGTGTTTCACCGCAGTGTTTTAACACACGCTCGATGCCAACATAGATATAATACATCGAGAAACCACGGTGACATGTGTAACACTAAATACAGGTTCACACCATACTGACGGGCAAGTGCCAGGCATATGCCAGTCTCGGCCCAGTTCTGTATTCTTTGATGCATTCTATAGAAACATTCACACCAGCCGTGACAGGCATGTGCCCGGCAGTGTAGTATGAACCCGGCCTAGATCCATAGGATACCAAATTACAAGAGAAACTAATCAAAATAAGCAAACTTTCCTCCAATACCAAAACCCTATTTTTTCAACACCAGACGCGCTACCCCTGCGTGTGGGTGATTATTATTACCTACCGGTACATCTGCAGGGTCATCCGCCAATTTTGCGGGATAATTGAGGTATGTCAGAAAATTGCTCTGGCCATTTTTATGAAATATTTGTAACGTGGGAGAAATGATTGTAGGCTACTGATGTGAACGAAACCTAAGTCAACAACAATCAGTATTAACCTAACAAACGTGCCCAAAATACTTTTAAACCTATGCCTATTAACCACCAAAAACCCTTACCCATAAACCACAATAACCCACCGAATAAAGGGCGATGAACTCATTGAAGTCCTTGAAGAAGTCCTCGAGTGCGTACTTCGAGACCTCGAAGGTGAAGATCTCGGAGACGGTCTTGTAGCACTTGAGCATCATCTCGAGGGACGTCTCCTGCAGCGACACCTCCCCGTCCGCCTTCTCGTAGAACTCCTCAAACTTCTCGCGGAACCTGCGGCACAACTTGAGTTTTTATCTACAGCTATGGCACAACCTAACTTACTCCCTACAGCAGCAGTACGAGCGGTGCAACTCAGGTTATTAAGCTATAAATTACAGCACAACCTAAGTTACTGCTTACGGCAGCATACATGCGGTACAACTTGTTGCCACCTACAGTAGTTTTAGGATAGAACTTAATAAATTCATTTCCGCAATCACACTGGGAAGAACCTAAAATATTCTTGCCAATGTCATTCTAATTTCTCAAAAAAGCTCAATGGGAGTTCTATGAATAATATTGGCGTGAACGATTCTTTCTTTTACTGACATTTTCTGGGCTCGACTTGCAAATTATAACAGAGAGTCTTAAATTTCAGGCACTATGTTCTCCGAGCTCCACTTTGCTAAATTGTCATGAGTACATTAACAATTTGACTATAAAATTACAAAACATGTCCGACTATAGCAGTGGCGCTAAAACAACACCCAAAACACCTAATAACTCACCGATCTTCGGGATCCTGCTTGTGATGTCTCTGCAGGTCATTGCCAATATTGTTGATCTCCTTCTTCATCTTCGCAAGGTTTGCCTTGACTTGGTCGACGTTGACTCTCTCAGCTGCCGCGAAGTGCAGCAACCCATCCTCGAAATCTGCTGACTCAGGCTCCTCGTTTATCATGGTCTCAGCGAGGTAATGCAGCAACGTCTGGCCGTCGACATCCTTTGTGTTGGCCAGCTTTGGAAGGAAGCTGATGTCAAAGCCGATAGTGTCGGCGTTCCGAGAGCCAGAGTTCAAAACGTTACCGAACTCGAGAATGTAATAGAGAACGCGTTCAAACTTTTTGGAATTCATTAGCTCTTCAAGAGCGGCGCGGGTGTTGACAATATCCCTACGAACGTCTTCCAACATTTGCGGGTACTCCACCTTGAACGCCATGTTGCGCAAAATAGGAACAAACTTCTTGATCCTGCCGATGGTGTGCAGGAACTTCTCGCCTTCAGCCAGGTCGTCAGGATCGTCCTCGAGAGCTACAACTTTGTTGATGACGTCATGGTCGGGAAGAGACGAGATCAATGTCTGAATGGCAGCCGAGTCCAGACAGCCAGAAGAATCCAAGCACAAGACCTGCTCATCGCACCTCAGGATAGCGAGACGTATTTCTTCAAGAGACAGATGTTTGTACTGGCCTCTCAGAGCTATAGACAAATTCTGATTAGTTTTTGTATCTAAAACCCGTAACTCTTTCTCCCTTTTAACTGACTTTTCAGCTCCATCTACGGCTTTCTTTTTCACTTGCTTTACTGCGAAATTTGCACCGAGCGTCTCGAGAACTTGTTTCTTAATGTTCGGTTCCTTTTTATTGAGCTTCACCCACACGCTCTTCTCACTCATCTTTTGAGGCGTAACTTTGTTCCACTGAAGGCGCTTGGTCTGCGCCTCAGGCTTGATGCTCGCCCTGCGCAGCGTCATGCCGTGAGGTAGACCTGCAGGGGCTGCCAGTCTGGGACCACCGGGAGGTGGTGGCGGGCCAAAGCCTGGACCACCTGGTGGAGGCGGTGGACGGGGACCACCAGGCATGGGTGGCGGGGGAGGAGCTGAACTACCAGGCATAGGTGGCGGAGGCGGTCCTCTGAAACCTCCTGGAGGGGGAGGTGGTGGTGGAGGGCCACCCATACCTGGAGGTGGTGGCGGTGGAGGAGGACCACCACCAGGCACGGGAGGTGGAGGGGGCGGTAGCCCTCTGCCAATAGCCTCACTGAGGCCAGGCACGACCATGAGGCCACCTTTCTTACTGGGGTCTCCCTGGGCGCCGAACTTCTGAAGATCTTCTATCTTGGCGCGGCTCTGGGCGAGTTCAGCCTCGAGCTTATGTTTCTCAGAGAGCGCGTCGTCAAGCTGCTTCTGATACTCCAGCGCGATTGTCTGGCCTTTGGCTTGACTCTCCTTCTTCAGCTGCTCCACCAGATGATCCACCTTGAGGTCAAAACGCCTCGTTGAGCGGAAGTCTGGATCGCAGCCGTCGCGATGGAGCACGATTTGCGTAACGCACTCTTCTATGAGACGATAATACGAACTGCGTACGCCTTCTTCGTCCCTTATGAACGCCAGGTGCTGCAGGATGGACAGCAGCTGCAGCTCACACTCTGAGTCCTGGACTTGGTTTCGTACGATCTCAAAACACCGCCCCAGGTCATCAATGTCATCAATGTGGTTGAAAAATCTATCTTGCCAATCCTCAAAATCTTCTGTTCTGTACTTATTGAATATTTCGAGCTGTCTTTTGATATCGATATGAGTACTCGTGCTGAGACTCTCGAGCAAATCCTGCAATCCTGTTCTCATGAACTCGTTCCTCAGATGTATTCTGAAGTCGAGGTTATCATCAGGAACAAAATTGATGAGTGAATTAACAAGGCAGAGACAATTGAGCTTTAGAGCATCACTGTTCTTATTATGACCTTCTTCATCACTGATCCTAAGACCTTCAATAATGGGGTAGAACCTTTCCTGTTTTTTGAAGTCTGCCACGGCCGTGATGGCTCCGAGCACCTCGCTGTGGCCCTCCAGGCCGTGTTCGTGCCACATCGGTAAACTGAAGGAACACATGAGCTTCACGACCTCCAACATGATGGTGGATTTGGTGGGGTTCAGGGAGTGGGCAAGGACGGTGAAGGCTTCTTTGTGCGAGAAGAATGCTTTGATGCCGATTATGTTGTTGCAGATCTCGCGTAAACATTTGATGGCTTCGTGTTCAATAGGGTCCCACTGCTGGCTGCCCCTGTAATGAGAATAAGCTTACTGCTTTATTATTATTAATCTAACATCACGTTGGTCCGACCCTTTGTCTTCTGAGGGTAACTCGCATTGCCTGGCCTTTAGATACGAACATTCAAAATTTTTAACATATTTGTAGATCCATTTTTAGATTTCGGAGGCAGTAGTTTATAAAACAAAAAAAGAATAGATAAAAATCCTAATTTGAATTTAAATTCTTTTTAAAAAAATCTTCATACTCCTCGCACTAACAACTAGAGTAACCAAAGATGATCTCTACCTGAAGTGACTACATTTCATTAAGTTCAAAAGCTTAAGACAACTCAAGTCAAGTCTCAAGAATGAAAGTTTTGTTAATATTATAAGAAAGTTTTGGAACAGCGTGCCATACTTCTCTCTCTGACAATGTCCAGCTGGTTCACTCTGACCACCGCGAATCTCACCTTCTGTAGCACTCATTCAAGATGCTCAGGAGTCGCTTTAGGCCGCCGTTTTGAGCAAAATCTGATAGGAACTGAATTTTGTTGCTCCGAAGAGACACCTGAGAAAATATTACATGAAGCCTTAGCAGTGCAACAACTACAGACATTCTAGCACTTCACCAACCATGCTTCACAAAAATGATCTCTTAACAAGTATTAAATTAAATTTGTTGAAACCGATGTTGCCACTCAAATTCAACACTTTCCACAAACTTGAGAGGATTGAAATGATAAGCATTAGTGGGAACCACAAATCTAACATATACTACATGGTTGAAAGTTTCTGAACAAATTTCAAGAGAGCAACAATGTTTGGAGTTTAGTTGCATGTTAAAAGCGTTCAATGATACAACAACAAAAACTATATCTAGTCAACCGGGCCCCTTATGCAAGAGGAATTTATTGATATAAACATGCTGAAACAGCAATAAATCAAGCCACTGCCTTAATAAATATGTCAATATTGAACCTTTTGAAGTGTCAAGAATATTGAACAAACGAGCGAATTAATGTGTTGTAGAAAATGTGATCCTAATCAAGGAATACTAAAACCTTAAACGGACTGATCATAACGTAATTCACACTATTCAACAATGCTTGAACATGCTTATGCATTGTAATTAATGGCAATGATAGCCAAAACATCAATAGGAAAGTTGATTGTTTTTCGATAGCTGAAGCACTTTACATCGGAGAGCCAATGGTTCCACCCAAATGATAGTTATGAATGCTACGTGAAAAAAATCTTGAAATACAAGATTAAGTACAGTAAATAAGGCAAGTGATTTCTTTGCCTGAAGCATAACAATGTAAACACAAATCTAATACTGAATGATAACATGAAACACAGAAAATCTAGAACGAACACATCTTGCATTATCAAGGAGAACATCACTGACCTGTAGGGACTCGAGTGTTCTCAAGATGTTCTTAGGACTGAGGTCATCTCTCTCCAGGTAATCAATGTAGTCACTCGGTGAGTCCAGTTTGTTCTGGCCTTGTGTTGTGATCTGTAATGACAGTCGATATGAATCATTTAAAACTACAAGTTACTGCTGCTAGGTATTGAGGCATAAACTAGACTCAAGTTATATGATATTGAACTTTACAGAAAATAAAAGATTTCAGAATACAATAATACCCTGTACGTATTCTAGAAACATAATTTTGTCCTTTTTGTCTGATTCGCCAGGCATTCTAGAATACAATGCTAAAATTATCTTGAACGTGGAGAATTTTTAGACAATTTGTCTACTTATGAATAAATGTAATTGTTACTAACTCTTTTATAACTTATTCTTCCACACTATGGATGCTGCCAGTATAAAATGTTCAATGAAAACATGACTTTCTTACTTTTTGTTTTCATAGCTTATTGATGAGCAAGAAGCCTAATAAGGAAATGAAAAGCTACTATACATGACAATAATGATAGGGTACTAATCAAACTTTGCATCTTAGAAAAATAACTTCATATACAAATAAAAATAAAATAAATATATATATAAAAATAAATAGGAAATAAATAGCTACGATATATATGATAATAATGATACTAATCAAACTGTGCATCTTAGAAAAACTGAACTTATTTTTCTAATTACAATGCATAATGTATCAATGAAAAATGAATCTATTGAAGACATGTTTGAGAGAGCTAACCTTATTGTTATTCTTGAGCATGAGCTTCATCTTATCAATAGGCATGGTGAGCATGCTGCTGGTGTCAGCGATGTTCATCTCTGCTATCATCTCACGGAACTTGACCCGAATCTGGGAGGAGAAGGAAATTCTGTGAACATTGCAGTGAGAATTAACAAGTCTAGTGAATCCTGATATTCAAGGTCCTGAGTGAAGGTCATCTACAGTGATATCTTGAATAGTGAGAAATTAATCTGTCTGTAAAGCACTAGGATGGCATATATATATTTATATACACACAGGTTGTTTGAAATAAAACATTTTACACAATGGTTTGTCAACTGTAAGATGATCTCAGGGACTAAAAATTGTTTCTGAATAAGTCACTGATTTAAGCTTGAATCTCCAAAAGAATATTTGTAGGTGTCTAATTTTGATTTTTGATGAATGTGCACTAAGGAAACCAATGGGGAAAAGTGCAGGAATGGCACATCAATCTTTATGAAGTTTTCAATATGTATATGTTTGTTTTCAAAATAATATAACAATTAAAATGTCAGAACCAGTCCTAAAGCTGACTTGTGATCTGTGCAGACCAAGCATTGAACATTGAACTGTTTCACATGTGGAAATGTTACATCAGGTGAAACATGAACACATTGCAATCAAACTATGAGCCCAAGGATAATTCAGCTTACAAGCATCATCTAATGATAGATAATAGAGGAGATTAGGCAAGATAGGTTAGATATCTAATGTATGGTCAAGCCAGATAACCGAAAAAACCCCCAATCTATCTTAATATACAACATAAAACAACTACATACTCTAAAACATACATACAATACATTAAATACTATTAACAAACACACAACAATCAAATTTAAATACAACAAAACACATACACTATCAAAATACGACGTGCCCGCGCACATTTCTCTCACCACCCGTCACTCATAGCTATACTTACTTC